TAGGGAGAGTCTGCTCCAGCTGCCGAGGAAAATGGTTTTCCTCTTTAATTTGCTCAAGTTTCTGAGTGAAAAGGTATTTTGGTTTAAAAGAAGCGTCTTTTCCTGGCTGCTCACCTTGCCCTTCTTCTTTTTCAGACTTCTGCCAGTACAAGAAAACTTCCTTCTGAAGTTTCAGGTAAAATAAAAATAATAAATAAAACCATTCCTATTCCCTGCTTGCGCCTCTGTCCCTTCCCTCACGCCCTGGTGTCCCTTGCTGCCCGTGCCCAGGGGATGAAGCTGTCCTCAGAGGAGTTCAATGCTATCTTCGCCTTCTACGATAAGGTAGGGAAACTGCCCCAAATAAATAACAAGTCGGCAAAAAAAAACCCCAAACAAACCTCAAACCCCCACATGTTTTCAGTTGGGTCAATTCCCCACTCTGATTTGGGGTGCGAGTGCTGGGTTTACCCTTGGCTGAGCTGGGTGAGGGTTGGGGGTGCCCCCCACACCCCCTTCCCTGGGGTGGGTTTGTGGGACTCGTGTCCTTCCCCCTGCTGACCTCCCTCCTTTGTTATCCAGGACGGGAGCGGCTTCATTGACGAGAACGAGCTGGATGCACTTTTGAAAGACCTGTATGAGAAGAATAAGAAAGTAAGTGGGGAAGAAAAAGTGGGGGACAGAGCCTGGGTGCCACCCCCCCCAACCCTCGGGAACCCCCTCCTGTGGCTCCTTCCCGCTCCAGCAGCATCGTCCACCCCCTCCCTGGGGGCAGGGCAAGATGCTGGTCCAGATGCCGGTGTCCCCTTGGGAGGCTGTGCCAGAGCTGGGGGGGGGTTCCCAGCCCCCGCAGGGAGAAACAGGGTACCCAGCCCTCCCCAACCCCCCCCCCCTCTCCCGTTCCTCGCAGGAGATGAACATCCAGCAGCTCACCAACTACAGGAAGAGCATCATGAACCTCTCTGATGGGGGAAAACTCTACCGCAAGGAACTGGAAATCGTGCTCTGCAACGAGCCCCCCATGTAGGATCCCACCCCGCGCTCTTCCTCCTCCTCCTCTTCCCCAAAAATGAGCACAACGGGGGAGCACCCACCACCACTGCTGCGTCAGTGGGGGGGTGCGGAGCGGGGGATGGTGGGTACCCACCGCCTCCCACCCCGCCCCCCGCCCCCAACGTTCCCCCAGCAGCTCTTGGCTTTGCTATAGGTCATTAAAATCCCACTTTGGGGGAAAATCTTTTTTTGGTTTTTTTTTTTGTTGTTTTTTTACCCCATCTGCCTGGTTGGTTTAATTATATTTAATTTTGGGGGGGGGGTGTCATTGGTTTCGTTTGTTTGGTCTCTTTCTTGAGTTTTTATTGTTTACCAAAGAACAGTTTACAAATAAATTTAAGTACTGCTTAGACTGGAGCCCCTCTGTCCCATTTCCCGCACACACACACCCCCCATCCCCATGGGGAGACATGGGACCCCCACCCTGGTCCCACTGGGGATGCGGCTGCTGGGGGGGGAGCCAGAGCCTTTTGGAAAATCCCTATAGAATTGGAGGGGGGAGTTGGAAAATCCCTGGGGAGCAGAGTGCAGGCGGGCTGGGGACACTGATGTCCCCACCTTGGTGACCTCCAGGACAGCATGCTTCCCAGTAACTCCCAGTTACCCCTCCCAGACCTTGGCAAGGCCTCGGGGACACACACAGACACATCCCTGCACCCCACTCTCACCAGTTTAGGAAACCAGTCCCTGTGGTGGTGATACTGGTGGAGTCACAGTGTCATTTTTCCCACCAGTGTAGGGGGGGATGACTGTACAGCCCCATATGGCCAAGTGCAACCCAGTATGGCCCACTACAGCCCTGTACGGCTCCATATGACCCAGTAAAGCCCTGTACAACCCTGTATGGCTCCATATAGCCAAGTGCAGCCCAGTATGGCCCACTACAGCCCTGTACGGCTCCATATGGCCCAGTACGGTGCAGGACCAGGGTCCCCCCCAACCAGTGGCCTGGTACTGGGATGGATGCTGGGGACAGCTGGGTGAGCGCAGTGCTGGGGGGGGAGTGGCAGCCCCTCTACTGCCCAGTATGACCCAGTTCAGCCCTGTATAGCCCAGTATGGTGCAGTGTAGTCCTGCATGGCTCAGTACAGCCCTGTACAGCCCAGTATGGTGCCATACTGTCCTGTACAGTCCCCAGTACAGCTCTGTGCAGCCCAGTATGGCTCAATATAGTCCTGTACAGCCTTATACAGCCCCATATGGCCCGGTACAGCCCTGTGCAGCCCAGTATGGCCCAATACAGTCCTGCACAGCCCTTTGTGGCTCCATATAGCCAAGTACAGCCCAGTATGGCCCAGTACATTCCTGTACAGCTCTCTATGTCCCAGTACGGCCCAGTACAGCCCTGTACGGCCCAGTACAGCCCTGTACAAGCCTGTATGGCCCCGTATGGTGCCGTACAGTCCTACAAGGACAAGAACAGCCCAGTACACAGCGCTGTACAGCCTAGTACGGTGCAGTGCAGTCTTCCGTGTCTCAGTACAGCCTAGTACAAGACGGCCCAGTACAGCCCAGTACAGCGCAGGACCAGGCGGGCGGCGCGGCTGCAGTGAGACCT